GCCGCCTGTTAGCATTAACTGCCTAGGCATATTTGTATGTCTGCCGTCTGTTTCTGGGATCTGGGATCTGGTGTCTGTGCGCCTGTGTTTGCCATAAATAATTATTCATATTTGTATAAAATACACACAAAATTTAATTAAAAATTGTTTCGCTTCAGCCCCAAAGAAAGAGGAATCATCATCATCACCATTTCCATTCTCCATTCTCATTGGCATAATTCCCTTTGTTATTTGGACATTTCCTTACACTTGTTTTTCGCTCCCCTTCCCCATCGAATGTATATTTCTTGTGCAGAAAGGGGCAGGATAGAGATGAAGTTGGTCCAAAGTGAAGTGCCATTGCCATTTTGGCTCATAATAAAATTAAAACGAAATGAAACGAGATGAAAAAGTAATAAAGTCCTTATGGAAAATGCCAGGCAAGATGGTCAAAGCTTCTGTTTCCCGCTTTCACTTCTGTTTCCACTGCCTTTTTCAACTTTTGTTTCTATTTCAGTTACTGTTTCTGTTTCTGCTTCGGTTTCTGTTATTGCTTTGGCTTTGGCTTCAAGTCCTTCGTCTGTTTCTGCCACGGCTACAAAACACTAAATAGATGAGAGCAGACAGTAATGATAAATATTAAAGGAGTGATGTCAAATGGGAGAAGGCCAACCCTTCCTTAGTGAATACTCATTAAATATTATTGAAATTTAAGGGAGTATTGGAATTAATGGAAAGTAAAATATCCTATTCCAAAATGACAAAGGATCTTGAGTTCAAAAACTCAATCGATCATATTCCTATTGATTATTGGCATTTTGGACTTCGTATACCACTAATAAACCTAAAATATGTGTATTCTGGGTATAGAAAATTGATATTTTTATATGTTAATATTTTTTGGCATATTAAAGTATCAAAATATCATAACTAAGCCAAAATATATTAATTTCAATTCGGAAAGCTGTTATTAATTAGTTTTTATGAGGTTTATCAATCTTCATGCTGAATATAAAGTTTTTAAAAATTTGAATTTTTATCAAATTGTGAAAATTTGAACAATAAAAATTGATTATAAAATATTGAAACTTAAAAATTTTTATTTTCTGTCGGAGATGGGTAGATCGACTCGGCTGTTGATGCTGATCAAGAATATATTTGATTTATGGGGTTGGAAATGACTCCTTCATAGGCTTTTAATCTTCTGACTAAAATTATAATACCTTTGATGTTATTATATGACAAATTTTTATACAAATCTAATTTTGAAAAACTTATAACTAAGCCAAAAAGGTATTTATTTCGAAAATCTGTTCTATGCTACTTTATCGAAGGTTAAATTCTGCATATTTATTTTTAAATGTAGAAAATTCAATTATTTTTGTCACTTTTTAATGAAATTTTAGAAAATTTTGAAAAAAATTAATTTGTACCAGACATGACTAGATCGTTTCAGCTCTCCATTCTGATCAAGAATATATATGGTTTATAAGGTCGAAAATGACTCCTTCACTCCTTTTAACTAAAATTATAATACCCAAGGGTATAAAAAGCGCATATAAAAGGTTTCTGTCTACCTAAAAGTGGATTTATTTATTGTTAAAAAGGAAAATTTTAAATTTTTTTTATTTTTAATATTTATTTATTTATTTTTTAAAAAGTATATCTCTTACAGTTTCTTAAGTTATACAGCTTACTTACTTATCTTATTCTATATATAATTTATTAGTTCCCATGATATTTATATGTCTATATGTACCTCTTACCAGGTATTTTTCTTGTCTACTGTATATTTACACCCATAAAAATTTGTTGGTAGATGATGCGGCACTGGCTTTAGCTTGTCTTTCAGCTTTTCTGTGGAAATTTTTGAAGTGCCGAACCCAGAGCTGGTGACCGTGTCCTTTTCCCATTTTATATCCTATTTTTTGTTAGGGGGAATCCCGCCCCGGTTAGATTGAGTGCGGACTTTGGTTGGGTTTGAGTTTTTGGTCTGAGTTTTTGGGTTTGAGGTTTTCATATTCGTTTTCCTTTACGTTTTCCTCGAAGGACTTGAGTTTTGGGTTTGGGTTTCGGTCTGGCTGGCTGCTGCCTGCGCATAATTAAGCTGGAATCGCACTCCATTGTGAAATATACTTGGCCATTGCATTTAAGTGTTTCGCTCGTAAAAGCTACGAAATGGGATCCCTGGTATGGGGCGGCCAGACAGTTGAATTCATTAAACCATTAGACAGACTCCGGCTGAAAATGGAGGCGATTAACGAAAGACGCTTTCCGGCACAAGGGCCCCTCCGCATTCCGTCTCCATCTCCTTACTTCCACTCTCATTCCCGGAATTCATCGCACAAATCAAACGGAAATCAAAACCCAAACAAGTAAATCAAGCAAATCCAGAGCCCAGACACAGCAGCAGCAGCAACAAAGGGGGCGTGTCATGCGTCATCTGAAAATTGTTGCAATTACGTCGTAGTAAGCAAGCAACAATAAGGCAGAGGCCAAACAGGGTGGCAACGGACATGAACATGGAAATTGGGGAGGGGCAACAAAAAAAAAGGAAAGCTGCCCGGAATTTCCATAAACACAATGGCAGTATGATGACCCCTCCTCCTCTACAGACAATTCAAATTGGTATCGCCCAGGGTTTCAGGGATCCCGGAGAGCACACGCATGTCTACTACATGGAGAAAAATACTATAGTTTATAGTGTAACTAATTGAAAAACTTGAAAGATCTTGAAAGTCACTAAATCAATCAATATACTTGTACTTAGACAGAATACTTGCATTTAACATGGTAGAATGGCCGAGAAAATGTTGCCAGGCTAAAGTTGCAAAGTAAATGTTGGGCAACATGCTTTTTTGATGCTAAACTTGCACTTTATAGTTTAACAACTTTAATAATTTATCTTACAATTGTCTTGCAAATTTCAAAAAATTGCTTTTTTGTATTTTATTAATTTTAATAAATTTATTAATTAATTATTTTTTTTTGTGTGTGCTTCATCCTAACCACTGGCAGTGGCAGAAAAGTGCCGTTCGCTGCCAGTTGTTGCTACGGTAAATATGGGGCTGTTGTGAGCCCCTCAAATTGGGGGCGGAGCATGCCAAGGGGTGCATACATTTGTGTGATTTACGAGCTGTCTCATATAGGCCTCGAATACGACGACGATGACAAACCAAACTTTGGGATCAAAGAGAAGTCCTCATCGAACTGTATAGACAGCTCGTGACACGAGACTGATTACAAAAGGAAAGACACTGAGCTTAAAAATACATAGAAAAGTCATGAAAAGCATCTAGATTTCAAGAAAACTAAAGGGATTTCTTTAAATAATATCTAAGAAAACATTCTCACCTTTCGAACCCTTTAAAATTCCAATAATACTTTAAAACTATTAGGTGACAACAATGCCAAATGGATAATGATAATAAACAAGTCTCAAAGTACATAGTTCGTGAGAAATATAATGAAATAAAGTTAAAAAGTTCACCAAACTCTTGGGCATTATATTCTTTGTTGTTGCTGTTCTTATTTTTATGGGCTCCGTGATGTGATTGGCCATCTCTATTTGCGTTATGGCCCAGACTCACAATGGCACAATGTTGTCAACGCAATCAGCAGCTTGGCAGTTGTTGTTGTTGCTGTTGCTTTGGGTGGGAGCTTGTTGTATTTGTTAGTTGCAAAACAGAAGTGTATGGGACAAGTGGACAAGGACTACGACTGCGAAGGGTTCTCCTGCAAAAGGGAAAGGAGTCCTCCTGTCGTGTCCTGCGCTGTCCGCTTTGCCTGCTCTGGAGATGAATGAATGCGTCATGCTGACCTCAGTGCACTCAAAGAAATTCGAGTTTAGTTTATAAAGATAATGTTTTACCTAATAGATAATCCTCCTGTTTAATTACATTTATAAACATCTGTAATATCTTTGATATTCATCACTAAACTAATCACTCTTTTAATCATTTTTCTCTGTGCATTCAAGTGGTAGAATCTGGTTGGTGGCTTGGTCTGGGGTGGCAAAGTGGGTTACGAGTTTCAAAATTGAATTGTTGGCAACACGTGACCAGGCGGGCGCCTGTCAAGCCAGAGTACAGAGAGGCCCGTCAATAAAGTCACAGTGAATGACAGGCTTACAAAACATGGGGCATCGTCTACAACAAGTGGCAAAACTCTCTATATGTGTCCTTCCCTGGCATCATCTCAACTTTATCTAAAACCCACACTGCTGGGTTGCCTTCGTCCTGATGAATGGGCAATATTAAAAACTCTATATACTAAATGTATTTTGGTCTTTGTGGTTTACGGTTTTATTCGGGGTTGACCGACCAGCGAAACGCAAAATGTAATTTGCGTAAAATGAGTGCGGAATTCAGTGGGAGTTTTTGCAGCTAGTTGATGTTAAGGGTTCTTTCGCGGTGAACAAGGAGTTGAGGTTGCTATCGAAACGAGTGGGATACACTACAGGAAATTATGTTATTGAACTTTTAGAATCTAATAAGAGAAGAGTTGAGTGGAGTTTGTTAAGGAATATAAACTAAATTGATGGTTTTCCTTTCAATAAACCAGTTTTTAGGAGATCTAACTTTCAATCTCTCCCTATTACTAGATTACTTCTCCTATATTTTGATACATTTTAATTGTAAACCCATTATTTCTTACTGTGCACTCCTCCTGCACACATTTGTCGAGTGCCTGGCGCAATCAATTCCCAAATCGCATTATGCCGCTGCCAGAAGCGAAGAGCTTGCAGCGAAGAGCTGAGGAGCGAAGTCTCTAGCAAATTGCTTGCTGGCTTTTCCACCAGCAGCTGGTGGAGGAGGAGGAGGAGAATGAAAAGCGGGTAAATACTGCAGACCAGGAGGCATGGTGGGATTGCCCAAAGTAGGAGGGCATCTCCTCCGACGCCATCCACATCCTTCACAGCATTTGGCATTTTATGTGCGTCAACATCAGCAAGTCGCCAAGTGCATTGCGTGCCAAATAGTTTACGTGTCAGTGGCGACACGAGTTCTCGATGGGACAGAATGGATGTGGATGTGGATGTGAATGTGGCTGTGGAGGCGGAGTCGTCGGATCTGTAGCTCTAGATTGTCTCTGGTAGAAGCATCTACGATCTACGTTTGGTGGCATTGTGACACTGCCCGCGGCAGATGCATATCGCAGTGCCACTACTTTATGGCATTTTGTTGCCCGTTTCCAGACATCCCCGGCATTGTCCGCACGGCAATTTCACCCCCAGCAAAATGCAAATGCAAAATTCGAAATGCGGAATGCAAAGTGCTTCGCGGATCAAAGTCTTTGTTGTGCTCACAAAATCATAGGCAAAGTGCACTTTGTTGCAGCTGATAAACACCGAAATTGGAGTTTATTTGATTATTTGATTAGTTGGATTTTATGGGTAGCTTGCCAAAGTAGACAAAGTTGAGTTGTACTGAAAAAACATGGAATGTAGTTTGTTTTTGTGAAGTTCAGTTAGGGTTTAGTCTTTTGAGATAAATATACAATAAGATACAAATAAATTTAAAGCATATTAATTACAATACTACAATAAGATAATAAGGACCACAATAATGTTGGTAGCTTGAAATATCAAATAACAATACATGTGTTATATAGGTTGATAACTTAAAAATAAATAATAATATCGATCTATTGACAATGAAAATAGGAAGTTCATATATAAATCGATATTTTAGCCTTTCTATTTATACATATGAGCGGTAAACCGATTTTTGGTTTGATTTTTTGGACCAATTAATTAATAATATATTTTTGCTATATTTTTAATACTTTCTATATGTTATGTTATTCCACCGATATTTAAATAGAGAAAGATATGTTACTTATTACTATTTATTATATTTGTTCCAAAAGAAAATTTTCCGAATGATATATATTCTGGACATATCGATATTTTCGGTAATTTCAAGTCAAGCTGACTTATATCTTCCAATAAGTACGATCAAAAGTTGCAAGTGCGAAAACCTCGCCAAACAACAGTCTAAAACATAAAAATAGAAACGTCTGTGCACGCGACACTCAATGGCAAACACGTCGTATGCTTAACCTTGAACTTGGGCAAACTCCCGAACCGATGCTTAAATCTATTATTGGAAAACAGTTGGACGACAACGAAGGGATCGAAATAAGACTTTATTTACCTATATTTATTAATAACTACATCTTTCGACTATAAAATGGGATCGCAGTGTCTAAGAAAGGCATCAGTCAGCGACTTAGCTTCCTCCAGTGAAGCTTGTTGCACCAAAAGACTCGACAAAGAGAAATTATCAAAATGAAGTTAACACTTGGCATTTTGATTGGTAATATACGCTGATCTTGTATTTTCATGTTATATCTTCAACTTATTCCGAGTGTTTTCTCATTTTTAAAGTGAGCGTTCTGCTGATCGGTAGTTCGACTGGATTGCCTACTGTGGTAGAGCCTGACTGTGGCTGCCCACCACCACCAGCACCAAAGCCACCGGTCAAACCTAAACCACCTCCACCACCACCATGCCCACCTCCAGTTGTTCCACCACCACCGTGCCCACCTCCAGTTGTTCCACCACCACCGTGCCCACCTCCAGTTGTTCCACCACCACCGTGCCCACCAGCACCAAAGCCACCAAAGGGCCCGAAGCCCGGTGGTCCTAAGCCCGGTGGACCTAAGCCCGGTGGCCCTAAACCCGGGTCTCCACCAAAGAGTTGCGGATGTGGACCTGGTGGTAATACCTGCGATGGTTGCCCCAAGCAGGCTGATCTGTGCAAGGAACTGATCGCTCTCTTAGAAAAACTGAATACCAAGATCAAGCAATGCGTGTGCGGAGTTCCCAAGTGGGCACTGCCCTAAGGCATCACAGGAGACAGGAGTCCACCGAAGATCCCGATAAAAAGAAGGAAAGCAGATGAACGTACCAAGGATAACGAACTGATCACCTGAACCCAATTTATTAATGTTTAAGTTTCTTTTGTTTTCGTTTCAAAATATATTTTTATTGCTGCATTTAAAGTCGATGGTTTCTTAATTGGTCTTTAATTGTTGTTAAAGATGGGTTCCGAAATATTATTTATAATTATTTTTATATATAAAGCTCTTCCTTACTGGCTATTTTTAAAATGCTTCCCACATTTCTACTGTTTAGCTGTCAATTGGTACTATAAACATCCGTTTCCAATGACATCCTCGTCCAAACACTTGCCAGAATCTATCATCATTGAATGTCACATCATCATCACCATTTGTCATCTATTCCAGGGGATCCGGATCCGGATGCGGATGCGGATCCCCCACTCCATGTTTCCCAAAACCCAACCATAACCATGTCTATTCATCTGTCGCCTTCGGTAAGCGTGCACGTTTTATAATTCATTTGCAGTTCCTTCAACAATTTCGTGAATATTTCATTTGGTTTCGTGTGGAAAAATTTGTACAGCTCGTTTGTCACTTTCCTACCTCGTCTTCATCGTATCTAGCATTTTCTACAGAATGTCGCTATTGTTTTTCCAGCACTGCATGAATAATGCAGTGATCCGATCTGTGGGCGGAATCTATCACAGAACAGATACACCTAATTGGTTAACTGGTTAAATGTAATTGTATTCACTAGTTCGTTCAGGTTTTAGGCCTTCATAATTATCAATTAATTGGCGTTCCAGTTTCGGAGCATGTCGAATGTGCAACTAGGGAAGTAGTAGGGCTAAATAAATAATGGATATTGATTGGTTAATGATTAACAAACTGCTTGGGCAAATAAACATTTGAGTTATTATTAGTTAAAATAGTGGGCTAGTAAAGGGTCACGGTGTTAATCCTTTGTATGTTAAGCCAATGTATTATAAACCTATGTTAATCGGATTTAAAGATCATGTGAAATGGGAGACGAGTGTCATAAAGCAGAAATAAATAAAATGTCAGGTGTTTTCCGTATTTTCAAGTCAAGCTGACTTATTTCTCCCAATACGTACGATCAAGAGTTGCGACTGCAATAATCGAGTGCAAAAACCTTGCCAAACAACAGTCCAAAACCTCAAAATAGAAACTTCTGTGCACGCGACACTCAATGGCAAACACAGGTCGTATGCTTAACCTTGAACTTGGGCAAACTCCCGAGCCGATGCTTAAGGCTAATATTGGCAAACAGTTGGACGGTAACGAAGGGATCGAAATAAGACTTTATTTACCTATATTATTAATAACTACAACTTTCGACTATAAAATGGGATCGCAATGTCGAAGAAAGCCAGCAGTCAGCGACTTAGCTTCCTCCAGTGAAGCTAGTTGCACCTGAAAGACTCGACAAAGACAGATTATCAAAATGAAGTTAACACTTCGCATTTTGATTGGTAATATCCGCTGATCTTGTACATTTTTATTATATGTTCAACTTATTCCGAGTGTTTTCTTATTTTTAAAGTGAGCGTTCTGCTGATCGGTAGTTCGACTGGATTGCCTACTGTAGTAGAGCCTGACTGTGGCTGCCCACCACCACCAGCACCAAAGCCACCGGTCAAACCTATTCCACCTCCCCGACCACCAGCACCAAAGCCACCTGTTAAACCTATTCCACCTCCCGACCACCAGCACCAAAACCACCTGTTAAAATCCACTCCAACCTCCACAACCGTGCCACCTCCAGTATTCCACCACCACCGTGCCCACCTCCAGTTATTCCACCACCACCGTGCCCACCTCCAGTTGTTCCAAACCACCGTGCCCACCTCCAGTTGTTCCACCACCGTGCCCACCCAGTTGTTCCCCCACCGTGCCCACCTCCAGTTGTTCCAACCACCGTGCCCACCTCCAGTTGTTCCACCACCACCGTGCCCACCTCCTGTTATTCCAAACCACCGTGCCCACCTCCAGTTGTTCCACCACCACCGTGCCCACCTCCAGTTGTTCCACCACCACCGTGCCCACCTCCAGTTGTTCCACCCCGCCCCCCAGTTCCACCCCCCGTGCCCACCTCCAGTTGTTCCACCACCACCGTGCCCACCTCCAGTTGTTCACCACCACCGTGCCCACCTCCTGTTATTCCAAACCACCGTGCCCACCTCCAGTTGTTCCACCACCACCGTGCCCACCTCCAGTTGTTCCACCACCACCGTGCCCACCTCCAGTTGTTCCAACCTCCGTGCCCACCTCCAGTTGTTCCACCACCACCGTGCCCACCTCCAGTTGTTCCACCACCACCGTGCCCACCTCCAGTTGTTCCACCACCACCGTGCCACCTCCAGTTGTTCCACCACCACCGTGCCCACCTCCAGTTGTTCCAAACCACCGTGCCCACCTCCAGTTGTTCCACCACCACCGTGCCACCTCCAGTTGTTCCACCACCACCGTGCCCACCTCCAGTTGTTCCACCACCACCGTGCCACCTCCAGTTGTTCCACCACCTTGCCCACCTCCAGTTGTTCCACCACCACCGTGCCCACCTCCAGTTGTTTCACCAGCACCGTGCCCACCAGCACCAAAGCCACCAAAGGACCCCAAGCCCGGTGGTCCTAAGCCCGGTGGCCCTAAACCCTGTGGACCTAAGCCAGGAAGACCTAAGCCAGGAAGACCTAAGCCAGGAGGACCTAAGCCACCTCCATCTCCACCGAAAAGTTGCGGATGTGGACCTGGTGGTAATAGCTGCGATGGTTGCCCCAAGCAGGTTGATCTGTGCAAGGAACTGATCGCTCTCTTAAAAAGACTGGATACCAAGATCAAGCAATGCGTGTGCGGAGTTCCCAAGTGGGCACTGCCTAATTAAGGCATAACAGGAGACAGTAGTCCACCGATGATCCCGATAAAAGAAGGAAAGCAGATGAACGTACCAAGGATAACGAACTGATCACCTGAATCCAATTTATTATTGTTTAAGTTTCTTTTGTTTTCGTTTCAAAATATAGTTGTAAGTGATGCATTTTAAGTGTATAGTGTTTTATTTGACTTTAATTGTTGTTGACGATATTTATTTTTAAATATATAATATATATGCTTCCCATATTTCCACTCTTTAGCTGCAATTCGGTTCTAAAATATGCTTCCGTTTCCATTGACATCCCTCTCTCGAACACTTTTCAATATCCATCATCATTGAATGTCACATCATCATCACCATTTGACATCCATTCCAGGGGATCCGGATGCGGATGCGGATCCCCCACTCCATGTTTCCCAGAACTCAACCATAACCATGTCTATTCATCTGTCGCCTTCGGTAAGCGTGCACGTTTTATAATTCATTTGCAGTTCCTTCAACAATTTCGTGAATATTTCATTTGGTTTCGTGTGGAACAATTTTTACAGCTCGTTTGTCACTTTCCCACCTCGTCTTCATCGTATCTAGCATTTTCCACAGAATGACGCTATCGTTTTTCCAGCACTGCATGAATAATGCAGTGATCCGATCTGTGGGCGGAATCTGTCACAGAACAGATACACCTGACATGCACCTTAGAGTTTCGAGCTCTAAGCTTGTCTGCATACTTATGCATCCGAGTATCTGTCAAGCATCTAAGACGATTACCTAATTGGCTAATTGTAATTGTATTCATTAGGTCGGTCAGGTATTAGGCCTTCATAATCTATCAATTAATTGGGATTCCAGGTTAGGAGCATGTCGAATGTGCGACTAGGGAAGTAGTAGTGCCAAATGAATAATGGATATTGATTGGAGAATGATTAACAAGCTGCAGGGGCAAATAAACATTTTAGTTAAAAGATATATAGATAAATATATACTCGATTAATTTTTCTTATTAGCTATTTTTGACTGCCTTTGTTGGCTTCTTCGTTTAGCTTCTTTCCAATAACCATTCGTAACCTTTAGGTAACCGCCTACATAAGCATAGGCCTTCCTTCCATCCTTCTTTCCTTCTTTTATTATTGAACAGCCAGCAGGAGCCAGACAGAGAGCAGCATCCAATCAGCCTCAGATTATTTCAGAGTATGGCACATAAGACCTGTTTCTATGCTTCCTGAGCCAATCACAGTGGCAGTTGCATTGCACAATCCCAGACTGACTGTCGAAATGAGTTGAGACGAACAAAGCTCCTTGGGCGATTTTCACCAAGCCAATGGTTCTTCCCCTTTTACCCAAAAAACTTTTCAAGCTTCAAAGAATAAGGACTAATAGAAACTTTTGGTATACTTGTAACTATTTTAATGTTAGTTATCATATTGAAACTATCAATCTCATATATTTAAAGAAATTGCAAGCAAAGTTCTAAAAAGAAGGCAAATAATATAAATTAATGACAATGTCTTTTGGTTCTAGTATAAAAAATGTATACTTTGTTTCTTAAAATAGCCTATTTATAAGTTAGAAGATAATCTAGATTTTTGGAGCACATTTCCCGTGTCACAGTTGTCTCTCACTCTTACTTTAAATTCCAAATGTTGGCTAAACACAAAGTTTGGCATGGCTTGCCAAATTGGTTACTCCCTCCTCGATTGTAACTCCTTCAACTGTGGGTGGGATTCATCATTACCTTCATCCAACTCAGGTTCTCCCTTCGACGTTCATGTATAATGCATGCGAGGATGCTGAGCAACCAAACCCTCAAACCCTCAAAACTTAGCCAAATGTCGATGTCTGTCAACGCAACTTCGATGTGGAGAGGAAGACAATGTAACTCGAAACTAGACACTCACTGTGTTGTAACTTCCATGGGGATACCAAATGCCGATTCCGAATTCCCTTCCTGCCCAAAATAACGTTGTGCAACAGAAACTGCAAAACTGCAATGACTGAACGATTATGCCGATGGCAGGCCATGTCCAAAGCAAACCATTTGTCACATTGGCAATGGAGTTGAGTCGAAGTGTACTCCCTGTTTGGAGTTGGAATTGGAGCCGGGGGAGTTTAGGGAGTCTAGGGTTTTATTGCCAATAAGAGGGCGGAGATCCAGAACCGCAAACACTTTACCCCAAATTGTGGTAGAGAGACAGAGCAAGCAAAGAAGTTTCTCCAGGGAGCTGGAATCCGAGCCAA